AGGGGGGGGTACCGAGCAGTGTGCGGCCGCTCTAGTCTGTACACTCTGTACTGGGCTGGGTTTTTAGGCATTGTGGGGTTGGTATTCCCTTCGATCACACGCACACACACACACACACACACACACACACACACACACACACACACACACACACACACACACACACACACACACACACACACACACACACTAAGCAGTAGAGGTCGATACTCGACGCGTCCTCCACATGGTCTGTGTCGCATCTCAAGAGCACACCAGCTCGCGCAGCGAGCCGTCCGACGACGAGGGGACTAATGAGCTCTTGTCCTCGTAGGCGGAGAGGAAGCGCGACAGCGGGTCCCGAAGGACGACCAGCCGCCGGAATCCGTGCCACGCCTCCCTTTTCCACACTCCATTGCAGCGGTGCAGCCCGGAGGAGGCGTTGCAGCCCGGAGGCGCGAGGGGCCCGAGCCAACCCGGCGCCGCAAGCCCGCACGCGGTGTTGCCCTCGGCGAGAGGGTGCTGCCGGCAGCCTGTGAGGCTCTGGAAGAGATGCACGAGAAAGCGCGAGCCAACCTTTGGCGTCCAGCAGAGCGCGAGCCTGAGCTCTGGCGCGACGAGCAGCCTGTCAGGCGGGGTGTGAGGATGCGGTGCTCTGGGCCGCCGCTGCACCATGGCTGTAGACTCGAACAGCACCCTTAGCAAAACTTAGCAAACACGGCGGGCACAAATCCTCCGCCCCTTTTTACTGGTTCAGTGAATGAAGCTCTCGACGTACCCGAAGGTATCCTTCCTGGAATTTCTCTTCTTTTTCCGCGAAAAAAAAATCGCTGACAATGTTCGGCCGTCGCCGGCAGCTGGCCCAGCCCGTTCGATGGTGTTGCTCTCGCTGCTCTCCGCTGCCGCCGCGGCCTTCTCGCGCCCGCTGGGCCCTCGCACGCCAGGCAGACCGGCGATCTATCCAAGGATCGCACCCTGTGACGCCGTTGCGAGGATCGGGCGCCAGAGCGGCGGCCGCCGCGCAGCCACCAGCCTTGCCGCCGCCGCCGCCGCCGCCGCCGCTCCGTCGCCACGCTGGCTGCATGTAGCCTCAGCCTCTGCCGCCGGCGTGGCCTCGCCGGCACAGCGGCGCCGGTTCTTTTCGTGGACCGACCGAGGGCCGGTCGACGCTCCGCTGCCAGACAACATCTTCTTGCGCATCCTGAAGGGCGACGCGCCAGCGAGCGTAGTCGACGACGACGGCGACCTCTTCTCCTTCCGAGACAAGAACCCGGCCTCTCGCCCCTCCTCCTCCTGCTCCTCCGCTGCTGCCCTCCTCTTCACAGCCGCCTGCGTGACCAGGCCTCCGACCTCCACCTCCTCGTCATACCGCGCTCGTTTGTGAGGGACGCGTCGCTGTTGCGGGGCGAGCAGGGCGCGGCGCTTGTACGGCGCATGGAGACCAAGGCGCGCGGCAGGGAGAGAGACGCGGTTGATCTCGGGCATCTCTCGGACCTCGGACAGATCGCGGACAGATCTCGGACCGATCTCGGACGGATCTCAGCCATGCCTCGACTCACCTCGGCTGTACCTCGGCCGTACCTCGGCTGTACCTCGGCTTTACCTCGGCCGTACCTCGGCTGTACCTCGGCCAGGCGCGGTCCCTCGTCCTCGCGGAGGTCGGCTCATCCTTCGACCCCGCGGCGAGCGAGCAGCAGCCAACGCCACGACGCCACCGCCTCCTCACAGCGACTCGCTGTGAACAGGAGCTCGGCACTCGAGAGGAATTATGCACCACGTACCACCGCCACTCAAGGAAGTAAACATGTGCACAGGAGCTCGCGCTCGGCTTTCACTGGCCGCCGTGGCGCCGACAGCAGCCGCCAGCCGCCGCCGCAACCCCAGCGCGCGCCGCTCTCACCCCTTCCTGCACATGAGAGCTGTCAGGCTCTCCGAGGAGGCGGCTCTGCCGACACCTCTCTCTTCTCCCGTCACGCCGCGCCGTCTCGGTGCAGGTACTCGGTGCCGTGGCTGCACTTGCACGCAATCTACCCTCGCTCCCGCTTGCGGCGGAGGTCCGCGAGAGAAGCGAGAGACGGCTCACGCTCACACGCACGCTTGGCTGCCTCCTTGGCTGCCTCCTTGGCTGCCTCCCGGCTGCCTCCGGGCTGCTTGACGGGCAAGGCTGCACCTCGGCTGCACCTCGGCTGCACCTCGGCTGCACTTCGGTTGCACTTCGGTTGCACAGTCTGTAGCGCGGCGACACGTAGCACGGCGACACGTTGGCCGTGGCTCCGCTCTGCTGCGCTGCAGGTACAAGTACACGCCCTTCTCCTTCAAGTCGCCGGAGTGGGTCGTGGAACGCTGCACGGGCGGTAAGGTACGCAGGTGAGATAGATCTAGACCAGAAAGATAGAGCAGAGGACGCACGTCACCCGCACACGCGGAGAGCGAATATGCAAAACGCGTTGCCGTGAGACCTGAGACCTCGCTGACGCTGTGATGCGCCGTCTAACCGACTTTTTCTCTCGGATGTAAAAAAGTAAAGGTGTGTCCAACCACTGCAAACACTCGGCTCATCAGTTGAGCACCGTCCCTCCCTCCTCCGCCGTCACCTCGCCGCTCGCGTACAGCCAGCCGCTGCCGCCGCGCAGGAAGCGGCTCCGCTCCGAGAAGGACACCTGCGGGGCGAGGAGCAGAGTCAGCGACAGACGCCCCGCGATGATGGCGCGGTTGCCCTCTGCGCACGGTCGACCTCCTCTCCTCCTCCCCGCGGCCGCAGCGTCGCTGTGAAGGAGAGGCGCGCCTGTTCACGGCTGAAGGCGTGAAGAGACGCCGTTCACAGGCGCCGTCCGGTGAAGGAGAGGCGCGGCCTCGTCGCTGTCGCCCCTCGCGCCTGTCTCGCACTCCTCCTCCCCGCCTCCCTCCCCGCCTCCCTCCCCGCCTCCCTCGCCGCCTCCCTCCTCCCGAGCCCCGATGTCGAGCCTCACAAACTCAAAGCCGTCGAACATCCCCTCGCGGTCCAGCGCACGCGCCCAGGCCACGCGGTCCTCGCGGTAGTCGCGGTTCTCGCGGTGCGTGGTCGCGATGAGCGGCAGCGGCAGGCGGTACGCAAACGCAGAGAAGCGAGCTTGCAGGCACCGCTCGGGCGACTCGGGAGAAGCACCGCCGGCATGGTAAGGCTGGCAGCACGCGGCGTACCCCAGGCCGCTGCCGCATGCGCACGGCTCGCACTCACTCGCTGGGAGCCGGTTGCGAAATCGTGCGGCGACAGCCTCGAGCGACGGCGGCGGCTTCCGCGCTGCAGCGGGCCTCGCCCCTCCTCTACCAAAGCCGCCGCCCGATGCCGGCCTCGCTGCTCTGCCAAAGCCGCCGCCGCTCATACACGCGCTGAGGACGGGGAAGAGCATGGCAATGACACGCGCGCGGGAAAACGGCGCACCTTCGCGGCGCGTTCACCGAGCGAAATCCTCGGTACGCCAAAAAAGAAGAAAAACCACCGCCAATGTTTGACTTGTGGAAGAAAAGAAATCCCCGGGCATCTCGCGCCTTCTGACGCCCCCGGCCTGGCACCGATGGCCTCCCACCGCATCGGCGCCCGCCTCGCGGGCCTCTCGCCAGAGCAGCTCGTCGCCTTCATCGACGAGCAGGCGCCTCTCTGGAGCGCCGCCGCAATGCGCGTGGCGGAGGAGCACGCCGCTCGGCTCGCGGAGCAGCCCGAGAGGGTGCTCTCCGAGGTCCTCCTCTCGCCGGACCTCGCCCCGCACATCCTCGCCCAGCTGCCGACCAAGGAGCACGCCGCCAAGGGGACGTGCCGCGCGTGGCGCCGCGGCTGGAAGGAGACGCTGAAGAAGCGCATGAGGCCGCGCCTGCTCGTGATCGGCGGCCACGACAGGTATGCCGCTTTCGTCAACTCGCTGGAGCGGTATGACCCGTCTACAAATGAGTGGGAGGGGGAGGCTGTGGCGCCGATGCCGACGGCACGATGGTATGTCGGCATGGCGGTGCTCGGTGGCAAGCTCTATGCGGTGGGCGGCCATAGAGTGGCTGACGGCGCAACTTCCAACTCGGTCGAGCGGTACGGACTACGAACGCGTGGGAGGCTGTGGCGCCGATGGTGACACCACACAAGAATCACGCCGTGGCGGCGCTCGACGGCAAGCTGTACGCGGTGGGCGGGCAGGATGCCGGCTACAACGCGCTCAGTTCGGTCGAGCGGTACGACGCGGCGACGAACGCGTGGGAGGCGGTGGCGCCGATGGCAGAGGTACGCCATTCTCACGCCATGGAGTCGCGCTCAGTTCGGTGGAGCGGTACGACCTGGCTACGAAGTCGTGGGAGGCGGTGGCGCCGATGGCGTCGGCTCGAAGTCGCCTCGCTGTGACGGTGCTTGACGGCAAGCTGTATGCTGTGGGCGGATGGAACGGCGACGAACTAAGCTCGGTCGAGCGGTACGATCCCGTGACGAACGTGTGGGAGGCGGTGGCGTCGATGGCGGAGGAGCGGGACGAGCTCGCTGTGGCGGTGCTCGACGGCAAGCTGTACGCTGTGGGTGGCTACGACGCTGTGGGTGGCTATCTCAGCTCAGTCGAGCGGTACGATCCGGCAGCCAATGCGTGGGAGGCGGTGGCGCCGATGGCGTCGGCTCGAAGTCGCCTCGCTGTGACGGTGCTTGACGGCAAACTGTACGCCGTGGGAGGCTGCAACGACGACGACGGCCGCCTCAGCTCGGTGGAGCAGTACGACCCGGCGACGAACGCGTGGGAGGAGGTGGCGCCGATGGCGGTGTCGCGGGCTGCTGTCGGCGTGGCGGTGCTCGGCGGCAAGTTGTACGCTGTGGGCGGCAAGAACGATGACCTACCGGACGAGGACGAGGGCGTGATCAGCAGCACGGTAGAGCGGTACGACCCGGCCACAAACGCTTGGGAGGAGGTGGCGCCGATGGCGACGGCGCGAATCTGTTCTTTCCTTGCCTTGCTGTAGAGGGCTCGGGGGTCCCGTGCGCGCGGCCGTGGCTCGAAGTTAGCCGAGGCGTCACGGTGTGTGTGTTGTGTGTAGACTGCAAGAGTGTGCGACGGGGCGTCGGCGAGTGAATGATACGGATTGCGTCCGCCGGATTCCTCCTCCCTCAAGTTCTCTTTGTTTGTCAAGACTCAAGTTCGAGAGAGTTCGATCGACCCCAGGCTTGAACGTGGCAGCCACTATCTCACCGGAGGTAAGCCGTACCATGTCCGAGGAGGCCACCGGCCAAAAGCGCATGTCTTGAAGGTCCGATACTGGAAGCCCATATAGGGGCCTTACACCTTCTTTCTTCCCCGCGGCGAGCAGTTGTAAAATTCTTCCCCGCGGCGCTTGGAGCACTTGGAGTGCAGTCGGTAACCTCACATCCAGGGCCGGGGAGCTGAGAAGCGCACCCAGCGGGCCGGATGATCGGGAGCCGCGATTTATCACACGGCCAATTTCGGGATGAATGGGGATATATGCCTCTGATCGTCGACCTGCCGACGGCCGCCCGTCTAGAGCTGGGCACCTCGACGTCCCCGGCGTGCCAGCGGCGATGGGAGGAGGGCATCGATGTCTCTCTCGCCAGATTGCGCATCCCGAGGGGGCAACCGGGGTTTGACGCATACCCCTTCTTAGCGGGAGTGCCAAGCCCGCTGCATCCCCTCAACAGCACGGTGCTACTGGTGCACATCGGCAAGACTGGCGGGTCAACAGTCGCGACGACGCTCCACAAGGCCGGAATCCGCAACGACGCCGTGCATGTGCACCCCGTCCCGCGGAGCCTGTTCCGTGCCACGCCCCACATCGTGGTGAGCATCCGCGACCCAGTCGCACGCTTCCTGTCGGCATTCAACTGGGGAGTGAGGTTGAGGCAGGGCTGGGCAATGAACTTCTCGGAGTGCTACGACGCTGAAAAGTTCGCCGTCGAGTTTGCGTACCACAGACTCAACCCTGCGCTCCCACCCGCCAGCCGGGGATGCGGCAGACTTCAGCAAGCGGTGCAGGAGTGGACAAAGCCGGCGGGATGGATGGATGCACAGCGATACGGCCACATCCGGTGGGACGGCTGCTTCTATCTCGGAGGCTGCGTTGCCGACTACGCGCCGATCTCGCGACGGCTGTTCGCGGTCCGCACAGAGGCGCTTCGTGAAGGATGGATTGAAAAACATTCGAACAAAGAAGAGGCGACGGGAGGAACCGGCGGAGGATGCAGTGACGTGAGACACACACACACACACACACACACACACACACACACACACACACACACACACACACACACACACACACACACGCACACGCACCGCTCACCCACGCGCACTGGGCCTTGCACTTTGAATGCCGTGGGGCTCCTGTCGTCAGACGTGGAGACGCGAGGGTTGCCCCCCCTTGCCCCACCACCTCGTGTGTGTGGAGAAGTTTACCTTACCTTACCTTATACAAAAGGTGCATGATACCACCGTCACAAGCGCGACACGCACAGACACGGCTCTACCCGCTCACGGGCTCTCCTCGGTGACCCACAGGAAGACGGCGATGATGTACCTCACCCCGCGGGTGACGGCCCTCCCGCCGTGCCGCAGCTCCCCCGGAAAGGCGACCACGCACCCCTTCTCCGGCCTGACGAAGCCCTCGCCGCCGAGGTCCTCAAAGGAGGTGCCCCCGCCGTCGTACTCGCCCGTCTCGTTGAGGGCGATCGTGAGCGAGAGGTGCGAGTCGTCCTGATGGGTCGGCAGCGAGCGCTGCGCGGCGGCGTCGTAGCGCACAACGAAAGCGTCCCACACGCGCAGCCGGCTCGCGGAGACCTTGAGCCGGCTCTCGGCGTAGGTTGCCTGCTCACCGCCAGAGGTGTGGGAAGAGCGCAGCGCCTCGAGCGGGGGGGAATCTCGGTCTCGGGGGATCTCTCGCCTCGAGGAAGGGGAAGAGGCTGGAGGCGCAGCACTCGTTGAAGAGGGTGAGCACCTCACCAACCCCCCGCACCTCCATGTCTGTCGTCGGGACGGACCTGTTCACAGCAGGAGGTGTGAAGAGACGCTGTTCACACCTCCGTGTCTGTCGTCGGGACGGACGTGTGTCGCAGCGTGGACCAGCCGCCCGCCTGTCAATATCAACATGTGCCGATGGTATGTGCCAACCATTAGTGCGCCGCAGCGTGGACCAGCCGCCCACCTTCGCCGCGCTCGCCTCGCAGAGCTCGACGACCTGTTCACAGCAGTAGGTGTGAAGAGACGCTGTTCACACCTCTCGTCTCGCAGAGCTCGACGACCCTGTCGCACACGGCGGGGGAGAGGAGCGGCTGCAGCGAGAGGGCGATCCGGCGCCCGCCTTTGGCCGGGGCATGGAGATGGATGACTCAAATGACTCATCACTTCTCGGAAGAAGTGATCGTGCGCCCGCCTCCCGCCGCGAGGATCCTCGCCTCCGCCGCCGGCCTCTTGCGCTTCCCCGGCGGCGACGCGTGCGGCGGAGGGGCGATGTGGTAGGCGCGCGCAGCCGCAGCCTCGCGTCTCAGCTCTGCGTGCTCTGGCAGCGCCTCGCTGCCGCCCAGCCACGCGGCCCTCGCCTCGTCGAAGCGGTGCAGCCGCTGCAGCGCGCCTCCGAGGCGCAGCAGCGCCTCTTCATTAACACTTAATTAACAGCTAACCAAAAACTAATTAGGCGCCTCCGAGGCGCAGCAGCGCATCGCCGCGCCGCCGCCTCGCCCTCCAGATCTCCGCGGGCTTGCTCAGCTCCTCGTCGGCAAGTGCCGCCTCCCGGTGGCAGCGGTGTGACTGATCACTATTCGATAGCTCCGTACTATGTCCTCTGTGTGGGAAGGCCGTGCGAAGCACCGTTTTGAACCTCCATCACCCCAAAGCGGTGTGACTGATCACTACTTCTCTGCTTGCTACTCATCTTTGACTTGTGCGAATCAGCGATGAGCGGCTCATGACTGACTACACAGTGCGGCCTCCCGCAGCAGCCGGCGGTGGATGGCCACAGCGTCCTCGTAGAGCCCTTCCTCGAGCGCGCGCAACCCAAACGCTCTCAGCGCCTCGAGCCGCTCGTCGCTGCCCGCGGGGTGCATCTTGCGCACGCGAGCGACGCCGCGCTGCACCTGTTCACAGGCCGCCCCCTGTGAAGAGGCGCTGCTCACAGCGGCGATGCCGAGCGACGCGCTGCGCACCTCGCACTTCTCGCACCGGCACACGAAGCCGTGCATCGCTCGGAGCGCCGCCGTCCTCGCCTGTTCACGGCCAGAGGTGTGAAGAGACGCTGTCCACAGCGCCGCACGGAGCTCGCTAGTCCTCGCCGCGAGCGGCAGCGACGTGTCCACGTACGAGATCGTGAGCTCGCCTGTTCACAGCGGACGGCTGTGAAGAGGCGGCGTGGGCGGCGGGGGGCGGGAGATTGCGAGCTCGCTCTCAGGCGCGAGGTCGCGGAGAGCGAGGAGCGAGACACGGCCCCACCCTGTCCACTCTCCCCCCTTGGCCGCCTCGTCGCCGAACACCACGGCGCACGATGGCACGCAGCTGTGGTTGAGCATCGAGCCAGCAGCTGACAGCACCACCCCCTCGGGCAACACCGCTCCTGCGCCGCCGGTGGCGGGGTCGGCACAGCCCGCGCCGCTCGCGGGGAGAGCGTTTCGTTCCAGCGCGGCGACGAGAGAGCCGAGCCAGCCCTCGCCTGGTCACAGCCGTAGGTGTGAAGAGACGCCGTTCACACCACGAGAGAGCCGAGCCAACACCTCGCCGTAGGAGCGCAGCAGTCGCAGCACGCGCCGCGACGGCGCGCCCTCAGGCAGCCTCCCCTCGAAGCAGCCGAGGAGGAGCCGCCAGCAGTGCGGCAGCAGGAGCCGAGCCTCGGCCTCGAGGGCCTCTGGGCTGTGTGCCTCCTCTCCCTCACCCTCACCCTCACCCTCGCCCTCGCCCTCCTCCTCACCCTCGCCCTCGCCCTCGCCCTCACCCTCGCCCTCACCCTCGCCCTCCTCCCCACCCTCGCCCTCGCTCTCGCCCTCGCCCTGGCCCTCGTCGCTCTCGCCCTCCTCCTCCTCGCCCTCCTCCTCCTCTGGAAAGTGGCCTGCCACCGCGCTCACGCCAGCAGCAGCCACCCACGGCCCTCCGCTCGCCAGCCCTCCCACCTATCAATGAAATGAGCTGGCCGTCAATCAACATCAGCTCATCAATCTAGGCCCTCCGCTCGCCGGCCGTCGAGCCAGCTCCCGCGCAGCAGTCAGCACGCTCTCGGCACGGCTCGCGCTGCCCGCCGCCGCCTCCGCCACCACCGCCGCAGTCAGCTTGCAGGCGAGCGGCAGGAAGAGCGCCTGCCATTGTTGTCCGTCGTGAAGCGACGCGGCTGGCGGTCGAGAAAAAGTGCCATCTGCTCTACCCTCTCAGCGACCTCTCGGCTAGCTCTCGCCGCGTCCGACCCGAGTGAGAGCAGCTCCGCCAGAGACGCCGCTGACCGTGCAGCATCGTCGGCGGCGACGCAGAGCAAGGCGTGGCCAGTGTCGTACGCCTTGTCGCGACACGCCTCACTGCAGTAGGCGGCGGAGCAGGCGCAGCGGACGGGCCGCTCCAGGTGCCTGCCGCAGGAGCAGCACACCGAAGCGCAGCCTGGCATCGGCGAAGCCGCGTGCGGCTCTCCGAGCCGCAGCAGGCTGTGCGACGGGCAGGCGCGTGCGGTGAAGAGGCCACGGCCGCGCGATCCGGCCGACGAGGTGTAGACGGAGCTCATGTCAGCGGCAACGTGGCGGACGCGAATTTCTTTTTTCGTAACTGAAATCGAAGTCGCCGATTCGTGTTTCCTTTCTTTTTGTGCTTTTTGGCTTTTTGGCGCCTTCGTGCGGTGGGGGGCACCGGCGGGCGGTCGACCGTCCTTCCTCTCTTCCCCTCTCAAGCACGTCAGGATGAGCGACGAGGAAGACGCGTACCTAATCGACTTCCAGGCCGGCGACATTGTCGACATCATGGTCCCAGGCAATCTCGGAAGCGGCGTGGTGGTCAGTACTGACGATTCTGACCCGGCGCGCGTCTTGGTGCAGCCGACGGGCGGACCCGGACAGCCAGCGCCTGTCCTGGTCGACAGGCGCCACCTGCGCGCTGGCGGTGATCAGGTGATGGTCCTTGTTGGTCGCAGCCGAGACTCTGACTGCTATCTCGCGGAGTCCGGAGGGACGATGTGCTGGAACCCCGCCCTCGCCGGCCAGACTACAAACGAGCCAAACTACGGCGTGCTGATGGTTGGGAATGGTGAGATTCGCGTCCGGGCATCCATCAACATCCCCGTCTCGCTGACGTGCGCCAAGCCAGCCGCCTTTTCCGAAGGAGAGCCCACAGAGGAGCAGTGTAACCTCGTGTTCGATGGCGTAGAGGAGCCGATAAGCTGGACGAAGATGCAAGTGCTATCGCAGGACTACATTGACATGGGCTGCTGGCCAGGGCTGGCCAGGAACTGGCCGGAGCCGCTGACCGAGCACCTTCACTCCGCGCATGAGTCACTGCTGCACATTGCGAGGCCGGGCGACGTGCTGCTTCACGCGAACGATTACGAGGGCAATGAGGAGTGGCTGCTGTTTCGCGACCGCCGAGTTGTGCTCGGCGAGTAGGACGCGATCGAAGTCGACGAGCCGAGCGGCGAGGCGGGCGGCAGCGAGGCAGGCCCGGGGGGCGCGGCCGGCGCAGCGGCCTCGCGTGGAGCGGAGCGTGCGCCAGCGGCTGGTGGAGCTCAAGGCCCTCCGCGAGATTGGGCTCGCCTCGGAGGCCAACGTGGAGGCGAGGCAGCGCGAGATCCTCGACGATGTGTGACGCGGGCGGGCGACCTTGATAGGGACGGCAAGAGCGCTTCCCGCGCGAGAGGGAGTGAGTTCGCCTAAACCGATTGCCTGCTGCGTCCTTGAGGGATCATTTTTTCTTTTGAAAAGCTCTTAGAGTACTCGAGTGCCGAGTATGAGGAGGAGCGTGTGGCGCACAGCGTCTGGCTCTGGGCGGGGACGACGCACGGCGGCGACCACTTGGAAAAAGTTAATACAATTTTGACAGCGTCCCAGGGATTCCTCTCTCGTATAGGACAGATTGCACCCGGCGGCACGACGGCGCGCCGCGCGTGATTTCTTTTCCTTGCGATGTCCAACCGCCGCGCCGCCGCTCGCGCCGCCTCGCCTCCGCCTCCACCGCCGCGCCCTCGCCAAGCACGCCGCCGCCCACCCGCCTCCTCGACCTCCCCACGGCGCTCCTCGAGCACGTCCTCTCTCGCTGCGACAGTCCCGCCGACATCGCTCGCGCCGCGGCCGTCTCGCTGCTCTTCCACGCCGCGCTCGCGGCGGAGGGCATCCGCTTGTGGGCGCAAGAGCGCGGCTTCGAGCTGCCCGCGCAGCCAGCGGGCGAGTGCTGCGCCGTGCGGTGGCTGTGCTATTCTGCGCTGCTGCGCGAGTCCAACCCGCCGGCGAGGGCGGCGACAGGCGAACGCCACAGCATCTTCATCGACGGCGAGGGGCGGCTCTCGTCGTGCGGCAATGCGCCGTCGTACCGTCCAGGACTGCTCGGGCACGGCGAGGGCGTGACGCGGCTCCAAACGCCGACCCGCCTCCCCTCCCCGCTGGGCGGTGAGCGCGCTGTGAGCGTGTCGGCTGGAGACGCGCACAGCCTCGCCCTCGCCGCCGACGGCAGTGTCTGGAGCTGGGGCACTGGAGCCTTTGGCCGGTTGGGCCACGGCGACGGGCAGACCCAGCTGCTGCCCAAGAAGGTCGAGGCCTTCGCTGACCAGCGCGTCGTCGCTGTGTCGGCAGGAGAGTACCACAACCTCGCCATCACCGCCAACGGCTCTGTCTGGAGCTGGGGCTTTGGAGCCTGTGGCCGGCTGGGCCACGGCGACGAGGAGAGCGAGCTGCTGCCGAAGAAGATCGAGGCCTTTGCTGGCCAGCGCGTCCTCGCCGTGTCGGCTGGAGGAGCGCACAACCTCGCCCTCACTGCTGACGGCGCTGTCTGGAGCTGGGGCGATGGAGGCTTTGGCCAGCTGGGCCACGGCGACGAGCAGCAGCAGCTGCTGCCGAAGAAGGTGGAGGCGTTGGCTGGCCAGCGCGTCCTCGCCGTATCGGCTGGAGTAATCCACAGCCTCGCCCTCACTGCTGACGGCGCCGTCTGGAGCTGGGGCTGGGGAGGCCTTGGCCAGCTGGGCCACGGCAATCGGCAGGACCAACTGCTGCCGAAGAAGATCGAGGCCTTTGCTGGCCAGCGCGTCGTCGCTGTGTCGGCTGGAGATGACCACAGCCTCGCCCTCACCGCCGACGGCGCCGTCTGGAGCTGGGGCAATGGAGGCGACGGCAAGTTGGGCCACGGCGACGAGCAGACCCAGCTGCTACCCAAGAAGGTCGAGGCCTTTGCTGGCCAGCGCGTCGTCGCTGTGTCGGCGGGATTCACCCACAGCATCGCCCTCACCGCTGACGGCGCAGTCTTTACCTGGGGCAAGGGCGAGCGGGGCTGCCTAGGCCACGGAGAGGACCTGTCGAACCAGCTGCTGCCGAAGAAGGACGAGGCGTGGGCGCCAAAGCAGTGAGGCATCGCCATGGGCGGGATTGGGGATAGACGGGTGTCATGGTTGCGTCGCGCGTGAGGGCAGACAGAAGACGGTCACCCGCAAGCAGCAGGTCATCGGCCGATTGCGAACGCGACGGATGCGCCTCGCCCTCTCGGACTTCACAACTGCGTGATCTGTCGCACGAGAGACGTCAAAGTCGAGACACGGCATAGCCCTAGCGGCCCGGGGTCGTCACGCGGGAATTTCTTTTTTGGCGACATGTCAGTCCTCTTGCTACCTCTGCTGCCACACTGCGGCCCGCGCGCGCTGCAAGCGCGCGGCTGTTCGCCCCGCACGAGCCCGCCGCGCAGTGTCGTCTTCGTCGCCGATCTCGAACCAGCCTTTGCGCAGCCCGGCTCTGGCGAGGCGGTCCGGTCTGTGCGGCTCGGCCTGGCTGAGGAGAGCGATCTGTCCGCGGCGATCGATGTGCTGATGGACGGCTTCTACAAGGACGCGCTCACCCTTGCCGCCGCCGAGTTCTCTGACGAGGATGACGGCGCTGCTCGAGCAGTCCGTGCCGTCCCTTGCCTGACGCTCTCCGGCGGCTTCTTCTAGGAGATGGAGCTGCTCCGCCCTCCGCTCACACGGGTCAACGGAGGCCTCAAGGCCTTCACGCGGCTGCTGCTGCGGCTGCAGGCGCAGGCGCGGTGCGGCGGGCGGCTGAAGGCGCCGAGCGCAGACTCGCCTCCGCCGCAGGGCTTCCGCGCGTGCGCTGGAGGCGGTGGCGAGCCGTGAGAGCCTCACTCCTGCGCCCCTTGGCGCAGGCTCGCTGATGCTCTGTGCGGTCGAGGGCGGTTCCGTGGTCGGCGTGGTCGAGGTGTCCATCGAGCCGAGGGATGGCAGGGTGAGGCTGCCTCTGGCACAGCTCACAGACACCCTCTGAGAGTGATGAACAATTAATTAATCAACAGCTCACAGACACCCTCTGAGAGTGATGACCAATTAATTAATCAACAGCTCACAGACACCCTCTGAGAGTGATGAACAATTAATTAATCAACAGCTCACAGGCACCCTCCGAGGCACCTCCGAGGCACCTCCGAGGCACCTCCGAGGCACCTCCGAGGCACCTCCGAGGCAGAGACTCTCGTAGATTGGTAGCTTCGGCCTGTGAGGCCTCCGCCTCCATGAGTCAGCTAGTCGTGCGTTGCTCTCGCCAGGTGCCCGGCGATGTGAGGCCTCTCCACCCGCCTTGGGCGCGTGGGTGGGCGGGGCGGGGACGTGTCGGTCGCTGCTTCACGACTGACGACGGAGTCGGCCTCCACTACTAGGCGCCGAGGGAGCGGGTGGCGTATGTGTCCAACTTGGCCGTCGTGTCGGCACTGCGCGGCGAGATGTAGCCGAGATTGCAATCTCGCGCCGCGGCGCACATCTTCACAGCTCGAGCTGTGAACAGGCAAGGGGCTCGGCCGGCGGCTGCTGCGGGCGGCGGAGGGGCTGGCGGCGCGCTGGGGCCACGGGGAGGTGTACTTGCATGCGTCTGCCGACCAGCCGAAGCTGCTCCGCTTCTACGCCGACCAGGAGCCATCTCGGGCCACACCCCGGCGACACCTCGGCGGCATCTCGGCGACACTTCGGCGACACTTCGGCGGCATCTCGGCGGCATCTCGGCGGCATCTCGGCGACACTTCGGCGGCATCTCGGCGACACTTCGGCGGCATCTCGGCGGCATCTCGGCGGCATCTCGGCGGCATCTCGGCGGCATCTCGGCGACACTTCGGCGGCATCTCGGCGACACTTCGGCGGCATCTCGGCGGCATCTCGGCGGCATCTCGGCGGGATCTCGGCGGCATCTCGGCGGCACCTGACTGCTGAGTACTCCTCCTCCGCCGGCAGGACTACGCGCCTCTGCCCGAGTTCGACGCGCCACAGTGGGTCCTCGCGCTGTCAGGGCGCGAGCAGACGCGCTACCACTGCCGGCCGCTCGACAGCAGGGACGTGGAGTCGCTGGCGGCGGCGGCGGACGCGATGCGGCGGACAGGCCAGCGAAGAGCTTGACCAAGCGCAGCGAGGGAGAGGAGGTCGACCACCCCGCCGTCCCAGCACAAACGGGAGGGAGGAGGGGGCGCGCGGACCAGCTGACGCGGCGAGGCGTGTCCGTGACCCGTGTGGCGCGCTCTCTGTGTGTGAAGGCTGGAGCCCCACAGAGTCAGACCGTGCGTGGCGGGGCGGTGGGTGGGCCTTTTCCTTTTTTAAGCCTTTTCTTCATTGGGGAGTTTTAAACGCTAAACGGCGCCCCAACATCGATGTCTCGAGCGAGTGACACTCGTCTGACACGCCCGCTCCCTCCTCCCCTCTTCCTCAGATCCCCGTGTTGGCGGCGGTGGTGCTCAGAGGACAGAGCCATAGTTGCGTAGAACCGTAGAGCCGCATGCGAGATGCGAGTAGGACAGCGTGAGCGTGCCTCACAGCGGCGAGGCCTCCCTTGCAGCCTCGATGGCCCAAGCCGCGGCACCGCCGACAGCCTTGCTCGGCCCGCGCGCGAGCGTGTGCAGCCCGCCCCACGCCGCCCCCATCAAAGGGTCGGGCAGCGGCGCCTACCCACGTGAGCAGGGCGCCGTCGGACCGGCCAAGACAATCCTCCTCGAGAGGTGATGCTTACTAAGGAAGAGACCGCCGGAGAGAGAAGTGGGCAGGCTGGGTCTGCTCTAGGGGGGAGCGGCGCCTCCTCCGTCGTCGCGAGGCTCTCCAGCAGCGCCGCGCCTGAGAGGTGAGGGAGCGAGCCCACTCCTCTCTCTCTCTCTCTGTCTCTCGAGGTCTCGAGGTGGATATCAGCCGAGGCGAGGCCAGCTCACCGAGGCGAGGCCAGCTCGCCCAGGGTCCCCCGACAGCGGCGCGTCCAAGGCCAAGCTCATCTCGGGTCATCTCGGGCCATCTCGGGCCATCGCGGGTGATCTCGGCGCATCTCGGCTCATCTCGGGCGATCTCGGCGCGTCTCGCGCCGAGCAGAGAGAAGACGAGTGCGGCGAGGACGAGGCCAGGCCCGCCGCCTACGCGCAATCTCGGGTCATCTCGGGTGATCTCGGGTGATCTCGAGGACGAGGCCAGGGCCCGCCGCCTTGGGTAGTCGACCCCAGCTGCTGCCCCAGCTGCTGCCCCAGCTGCTGCTGCTGCTGCTGCTGCTGCTCGAGGAGGCCGCTGCAGCCCGCCGGGTGGAACGGCGTGCAAGCGGTGAGGCCGGTGCGCTGGAGGCCGGCGAAGAGCGCGCCGCCCGCGTACCCGCCCAGCCCCGCGCCGAGCAGCCGCCCTCCGAGGCGAGTGGACGAGGCCTCCGCCGCCGCGAGGCGAGGCGCCGACGGCGGCGCAATGGTCCTCACGGGCGACGGCGAAGGCAGCGGCGGCGAAGGAGGCGGCGCGGGCAGCGGCACGTTGCGAGGTGGTGCTGTGGCGAGTGGCGGCGCCTGCAGCTCCGCCGCTGGCGGCGTCGGCGTGGCTGGCTGCCGCGAGGTGGGCTGCGGATCGCTCGGCGGCGGCGCGGTCGGAGGCGACTGCTGGCGCGTCGGGAGCCGCGGCGTGGCGACAGGCTGCGGAGTGGCGGGGACTTGGATCTGGAAGGCGTCTCCCGCCCGCATCTCTGGCGGGATAAGAACTTGCATGAGGCCCGCCGGCGTCTGGACCTGCAGCGGCATACCGCCAGACATGCCGTCAGGCACCTCCACCGACATGAGCATCGCCTCCGTATTCCGTGAGGGATCGGACGCGTCGCACAAGGGCAGGCGTGCGCGGCTGGCAGCGAGCGGTCGGGCGATTCGGGGCGAGAGGGCCAGGAAGAGCACTTGGAGCAACATATATGTAGTGCTCGCACTCCTCGCTTATGGAGGAATGTGAGGGGCGGCGCTCGGCAACCGGCGCTGCGCGGAGTGGGGGCCGCTTGCACTCACCGCGGGCCGATTGCGGGCTGGCGCGGGAGATGTGCCTTGGGGTGTGAACGGATGTCGGCGCTGGCGCGCCGGGACCGACCCGTCCGGCGGCCCTGGGGGGGATGCCTCTGAGCGCGCGACCTTTGACACCCGGCCGCCGCTCAGCTCGCGTCCCACGAATTCCATCGCGCCTCTTCACGACCAGTACGCTGAGAGAGATTTTTATTTACCAATACCAAACAACTCTACACTCAAACGTCATTTGGGGCCTGGAGCCCTGTTCACGCGCGCGAGAGACGTGCAGACAGGGTTGCCAGGTGAGAGCGAATGGCGCGGTTCACGCCTCGCACAACAGAGAGAGAGATGCGCTCTGCATGGTGGGTGGGACATAAAAGAGAGCGAGTACTTGGGCGAGTAGGCCGTGCGGTCAACGCTCCGCGCGCGACTTTGCGCGCGAGGCGGCGCAGCTTGAGAACGGCGGTGGGCGAGAAGCCGCCGCCGAACGTCTCGTGGAGCAGCAGGTTGAAGTTGTTGCGCTTGACAAATCGCGTCGTGGTAGAAACCGCGATGCGCCTTGACGTAGCCGTGGCCGGTCTTGTGGGAGAAGGGTTGGCCGGGCTGCCCGCGCGCCTTGCAGCCCATGTTTAGGCGGCGGGCCTTCTCTTCGGTGTTGCCAAAGGCGTAGGAGTGGCCACAACGGAGGCGGGCGTGCCGCCACTCGAGGCGTTGCCAACGCCCGGCGAGGAGGTCTTGAGGAGGGGCGTCCAGAGCTTGATTTCATTCACTTCATCGCACCCCCCCCGGTCCCGCATGGGGTTCTGCGAGGTCAGTCTTGTACCCCTCGTTGTACTGCCGGGTGACCTCTGGTTTCTCCTTGTCGCCGTGCACGACCGGCGCGTTGGCCGGGGCGCGCATCGCGTCCGCCCAGGCGGCGAGGACGCCGTCGTGGGGCCGCCGGTGGTGGGCCTTGTTGTAAAGGTAGTCGCCGAAGAAATGTTGTTTGTACGCTGTGGAATCGTTTGCTCCAGAACTATTAAGAAAACAAAATACGCGAAACCCCCACCCCCCCCATTCTCCTACGTATCCAGCCCTCTTGTGGCTTCGACGCACACGCTACTTCAGCCACAGAGTCCTGGACATGTCTATCAGAACTTCCTTGGGGGTGGGAGTCGCTAAACATATTCCCCGGGGCGGTCACCGCTGCCGCCCCCGGGGCGGTCGCCGCTGCCGCCCCCAGGGCATGAGAGGGGACGGCCGCGCGTGGCTCGGCGCGTGAGAGTGGCTGCCTGTGCCCGAAGGCGAGAAGGGGCCCGAAGGCAGCTGACTAGACTTGCGCCCCGCATCAACGAGGCTTACAAGAAAAGTCTTGTTTCAATCTTTCTACACGCTGTGCCTCGCTGCTATCCCCATCACGTTCCCTTCAAAAGCCGGCAAACCATCCTCACCTCGCCATGTAAGATAGTCCCCGTGACTGTTGCGGCTGTCCCTGTGTCACAGACACGTCGACAGAGAAAATTCATGAGCCAGGTGGCACCGCTCGCGTCGTAAGGAGGTCCCCGGGACCTCTCCAGCCCTCGTGAGGACCTCGCGAGCCAGCAGCCACAGGAGCACAGGAGGACCCCCCCCCCCCCCCGGCAGACAGTGCTGAAGCTTTTGCTCATCTCATGGTGATGGTTAAGGCGGAGCATCTTGGTGACAGTCATCCAGTCTGCGCACGAATGACGCACAGCAGGAGGGCGGACTACTGGGCGGAGACTATATGTGCAGCACTCAGCGGTGTGAGGACCTCTGCGTGAGGACGGACCCCTCTGCGGAGTGAGGACCTCTGCCAGCGAGGTCTGTGGACATTTCGGTGCGACGAGCGAGCTCTCCCACAGCTCTTGCCCGTGCCCGCTGCTGTGTGTCGCTCGGCAGGCACGTCATGGCCGCATAGATAGCCCAAGCAAGTAGGGAAATCGAGTCGCTCGTCATGCATTAGAAGAATCTCTCTCTCTGAAGATCGGCGCGGCGGTGCGGAGCGCGTGGAGGTGTAGGTCTCTGCTCGCGCGTCACCTCGAGTCCCCTTCCCACTGCTTGATCCGACCCTTGGCCCTCTGATGTCCAGTGCAGCACATGTACTCTTGGTGTGTGCTGTGTGTGAGTGAGTATTCTTGATACGAAACCACGACGGTGGGCCCTCCTTGTCTCGCAATAGACCGTGTGAGGTCACACCTACCTGCCGTAGTTGGATGGGAGATGGGTTCGTTCTAACCTTGCAAACAAAACAAAACCCGCTCGCCTTTCTCTCTCCTTTCTTCTTCTTCGAGCTTCTGGCTTGCGGCGGTCGAGTGCGTGTCGTACCTGTATGTATGTTTTTCAAGTGAAAAGAGACTCGGGTCGGGTGTCAGAAAACACTCCTGTGTGTGAGTGAGTATTCTTGATACGAAACCACGACGACACACACCAGTCGACTCGCATCGGTTGCCTCCATTAACGGCGGAGCTATTCTCGCGCCCACACCACACCTGGCTCCAACGTGGACACGCCCATAGCTGGGGACACTACTAGGTCATGCATGGCATCAGAAGTTTTATCTCTGGGCCCCGAAACGCATCTCTAGCAGCGTCGTTACGCATGCGCCCTCCCCCTGGGCGCATGCGCCTCACATCTCGCCAGAGCATAAGCCCTTGGTGTGCAGCGAGACGAGTTTTTCGCCATCGCCGCGAGCAGCAAGCCGCCCACCGCAAACAGCCGGAGGCATCGCCACGGCACAGACTGCGCCGCGATCAAAACACACACACACTCACACACACACACTCCTGTGTGGACCGCGTATCCTCGAGACCTCGAGAGCTTCATGGCGTCTCGTGAAGTGCCGGGGTGTCCATGCGCGTCGTCTCTAAAAAAAGCAGGAGTCCGCAATGGGGGGCCGGGCGCCGCGGAGCCGGCAGGCCGGCGCACTCCCGGCCCTCTTCTCACAGCACACGCTCGCGCCGAGCCGCCGATGCCGCGCCGCGCCATGCACAGCGTGTGGCGGCCGCCCGCTGCCCGCTTCCCTCTGCCGCAGCTGCATGTATTGCGTCACACCAGCGTTCCACGCCCGCGACGGGAAAGCACAGCCCGCGAAATGCTCGTCCTGATTTATGCCGCCGATTGCCCGCTGCGCAGGTCCCCAATAAACAACAAACCGTGGGCGTGTGTGAACTGCGCGTGCGCAGCTGGACCACAAGCTGGGCCCGCGCTGTGAGTAGGCACCTCATTTGCAGCCCCCGAGAGGGATTGTGCCAATCAAGTAAACTCATGTGTCACCTGTATGCGAAACGCATCGATTCATCCGCTGCCCAGGTGCAAGTGAACTCGGTCAACTTCATGTCGGAGAACCAGTCGGGGGCCGACACCGCCGCCGATGACGACGTCTCGCCTTTCCCCTCCTCTCTCTCGAGCGGCGCCATTTGGGCCAAGGATGCGAGCGTTGACTCAGCCGCGGCGGCGGCGGAGCCGGGCGTCGGGGACGGCAGCTCGCCCACTGGCGTCGCCGGCGGCGAGGCGGCCGACCGCAAGGCCCCTCACTCTCTTCTGTCTCACCCTCCCGTCACACACCCCTCCCTGCCTCCTCCACACCCTCCCGGTCGGCTGCAGTCCGTGCACCCGGAGGCTTGCCGACCCTAGTACTGATCCGCACACTACCGCCAGGGTATCGCCGAGTGGAACGGGTTCGCGGCCCTGCTCGGAACGGACGGCAACGAGCTCGGTGTCGTTAGCTCCGGCAATGCGCGCGGCGGCTCCAAGCCGTCGATCACGGCCTCGGCGCGTACTTCTCTTGTCCGTCATTCGCACTCTGCTCGAGATTTACCCTGTCTTCGGCCGCACTTTTAGGGCACGGCCGTCACGCTCAACACGCCGGAGGCCTCCGTCTCCACCTCCGGCTGGTTCTCTTGGCCCAAGTCTTGCTGGGCCAACGTGCTTTGCGTCCTCGTCTGCCTCGCCGCGGCGAGCGCAAGCGGGGCAGCATTCGCCTGCTTCTCGCACGGCTCTAACAGCCTTCTCGCTTCGATCGTTGTGCCCGGCGTGACGGCGCTGCCGCCTGAGCTTCCGGTTCGTATGGCCGGTTGGGACAAGCAGGTTGCCAATGCCTCTGGTGACGGGCGGAACCTGCCGACGCGCTCGCAGCGACAGCAGCTAGACACGCGCGCGCCCACGAGACGGAGCAATACGTCCAGGACTCTTGTGCCGGCTGCAATTCGGCGAGCCGCTCGGCTACGCAAGATCATGCGCGCACGGCCCGCCGTACAAGCCGCAGCCCCAGCTCCAAACCGTACCACCGTACAAGCCGCAGCCCCAGCTCCAAACCGTACCACCGTACAAGCCGCAGCCCCAGCTCCAAACCGTACCACCGTACAAGCCGCAGCCCCAGCTCCAAACCGTACCACCGTACAAGCCGCAGCCCCAGCTCCAAACCGTACCACCGTACAAGCCGCAGCCCCAGCTCCAAACCGTACCACCGTACAAGCCGCAGCCCCAGCTCCAAACCGTACCACCCGCGGCAACGGCCAAGTTCCTGATCGGGTGCGGCGCGCTCGGGAGCGAGAGCTCCGACACGCTCGGGAGCGACAGCGGCTGAAGGCGGCCCGGGAGCGACAGCGGCTGAAGGCGGCCCGGGAGCGACAGCGGCTGAAGAAGGCCGCCGCGGCGCGGAAGCCGCCGCCCAAGCGCGCGCCCGTGCCCAAGCCGCCGCCCAAACGTGCACGGCCCGCGGCGCACATATGCGGCACGATGCCGCGCATCGTCCCCAAGCTCCATGGCGACTGCGCAATCGTCGGCTCCTCTGACGTGCTACGCCTCGCTCGCATGGGCAAACGGATCGACGCGCACGACACCATCTGGTGATGGTACCCTCCAAGCTCGAGCTGCCGATGATTCATGATTAAGAACTGATGATTGACTCCCGTCAGGCGTGTGAACAATGCGCCGACGCGCGGCTACGAGACGATTGTGGGCGCGCGCACCGACGTCCGCATCATTAACCACGTGACGGTGGACGTGTGGATGGGCACGCTGCGAGCCAAGGGCGAGGC